GTTTTTTCCATCTCTTTATGATCCAAGTTACCAGACCCTACGGAAGGGTCAAGGAGAGAGCTGGGAACTTCAGCTCAGTAGACCAACGGTGGAGCATCTGAAAACTCCACCATATCTGGGGACCCATTCTAGAGAATCCTGAGAGCTGCCCCATCTGTTGAATCACATGTTGTGAGAATGACAGGAGAGCAGGATCCATCAAGGCCACCTAACAAGCAACTCGCAGAACCGTCTCCAACCCCTCTGCCTCCACCCCTACCTCCCTCCCGACCAGCTGTCTTACGATCACACGGCCCCTCTGCCCGGCCCTGAGCTCACCCCCTGCGCTCACCCAGGCCTGGGCCCCAGACTCAGACTCTCATCCTCCACTTTTGCTCTTGTGTTCTAGACTGATGTGCAGGACAGTCACCAGGAGACATTTCCACATGACAGGGGATAAAGTCAGACAGGTAGGTTTCAGTTTCTGAGTCTGAGCTCTCCAGGACTAAACTCCATGTTTCATAGTCCCTGGAGTCTCTGCCCTCATTCTATAAGTGAGGAAACTGACTCCTGGAGAGAAGTGACCAATCAAGGCCACACTGCAAGTTCATAGCAGAGCTGACCCTTGGAAGGTCAGTTCCAGAACCTCCTTGGAGCACTCCTTTCTCATCCTTCCACTTGTATGTTGATGTTACAAAACAGTGCAGGTGAGTGTGCCCAATGCACAATCAGTCCAAATAATGCTAAAATGTTGGCATTTGGATCACAGAAAGGTTTATTATAGGGCCATGCAAAGAGATGGGTGACTCATGTCTTAACAACCCCAAAGTTATTGAAAGCTTTCATCATAGCCCTTTTAAAAGCAAAAGTGAGGGAGGGGTGTGATTAGTTGTTGCAGATTTCTTGGTATCAGATCCTTTGTTCCTGAAGTCAGGTCATGGTCAAGTAACGATGTAGCTGTAAATCTCTACCAAATGAATATTATTCTCTGCCCTGACAAGAAAGGGCCAGGTCCCAAGGCACAACTTTTAGCCTTCAAGGTCCCCATCCTGGTTGAGAGGAGGCAGCTCTCAGCTGGCAGCTTCCTCAGGGCCAGGTCCCCAGACCCTGCCCAGTTGTCATTGCTGAAGGAGGCAGGCGCCCAACCCAACTGGCCCTCAGGCTCCTCAGGCTGCCCAAAGGCAAGGAGACAAGGTCCCACAGACTGCAACCCCGGCAGACTGCCACTGCTATTAGGTTGCAGAGACAAGGATCGGGGAGAGGTTCACTGCTGCCTCAAGGCCTGGGCCAAGGCTAGTGGGTGGCCTTGGTGAGGGCTCTGGACACAGAGCTCTGTGTCCCTACAGGACACAGTCCCAAGCCTGTTCTCTGAGCCCCCCAGCTCACCCACTGGCCCAAGGCCAGGTGAGCAGGAGGGCCTTGGGAGAAGGCCAGAATCTGCCTCTTATTTCACTCCCCACCTCACAACCACCACCCTACTGTTGTCTGAATCTCCTCACTGTCATTTCTTGACTGTTGATTGCCAGTGGGTGGGGCCCATTTGAGGCACTGACCAATGACTGAGCAGGACCCGTTGCCTAGTAACAGGGTGCCAGTGATGATGCTCAGCAATGGCTGTGAGCTGTGGCCTGCACTCACCGCGCTCTGTTACATTGGTATTTCTCTCATTTAAGTCTTTCAAAATAATATGAAAATTCTAATCCATTCATATTTTAAAGTAGAGGAAGCAATATAGAGACTAATCCAAAACAGCAACAGGTTCCAACTTCATTTTTACTAGATATTCATTCTATAAGCATGTGTTTAACGTGGCATGTTGCCATTCTGAGTTGGGTTTGTCTTATGCTAAGATATTTGCATCTTTTGAACACCCATGCCAGAAGGCAGAGACCAAGGGATCTGGGAAATAGCTTCTTTACTAGTAGATAAGCCACAGTCAAATAATCAAGAGTCTAATGCTCAGATTCAGCAGGTTATCCTTGTGGTGCCTACGAGTAGAAAGAGAAATGGAAACTACCTCTCCTTTCTTTGCCTAGGAGAAATGGAACAACTTGATCATGGTTTTCCTCCACAAGATGCCAAGGTTTTGAAGGCTTCAAATCTCCACTGCTGCTGCCTAGCACAGTCCATCTGTGAGGCTGTCTATCATTTCCTCCTCCTACTGCCCAGACACCGCTGGTCTTCTGATGGATACTGGATCAAGGCTAAACATAAGAATGGCCTTTCCCAGACTGCTGCCTTGGTGCCCCTTTGCAGGCTGCTAGGAATTCAGGTCTCCAGCTTCCCTACCAAGTCATCTCAAGATAATAGAAACAAAGACTTCCCTGATGGCCCAACAGCAAAGACTCCACACTCCCATTGCAGGAGGCCTTCTGGGAACTAGATCCCCCATGCGACAATGAAGAGTTCACACACTGCAACTAAAGATTCCACATGCTGCAACTGAAAAAAAAAAAAAAAGAACTTTCATGGTGGTCCAATGGTTAAGATTTACCTGCCAGTGCAGGGCACACTGGCTTAGTCCCTGGTCTGGGAAAATTCCACAGCCATGGGACAATTAAGTCTATGTATCACAACTAGAGCCCACGAGCCGCAGCTAGTGAACCCACACTGCAACTACTGAAGCCTGAGGCCTAGAGCCTATGAGCCACAAGAGAAGCCAGGGCAACGAGAAGCCCATGCACCGCAATGAAGAGCAGCCCCCTCGCTGCAACTAGAGAAAGCCCGTGTGCAGCAACACAGACCCAGTGCAGCCAAAACTAATAACTAACTAAATAAAAATTAAGAATAAAAGAAGATCCCATATGCTGCAACAAAGATAGAAAATCCTGCTTGCCTCAGTGCAGCCAAATAAATAATGAAATAAATAAATTAAAATATTTTTAAATAATTTTTTTTTAAATGATGACAGAAGCAGTAACCATATATGTAAAGAACACCAGCCTAGAAAACAGGTCCTAACTCCAGCCTCTATCACAACCTACCTTTCTGGGCCAACTGTTCATCCTTCAAAACCCAGCTCAAGCACCACTTCCTCCATGTATGGGCCTACTGTGAGCTTTTGAAGGAAGAGAATTGTCTGGATTATCTCATCTTTATAGGTACTCAATATACAAATAAATAATTATGGAATTGCTCCAAAATGAGAGGGTAATCTTGAAGAAAGCTTCCTTATTTAAGAGTCTGTGATGACCCCAACCCCACTTCAGGAGTTGGGCCCCCATGCCTGAGAGGCACAGAGAGGTGAAAGACCTAGGATCCTTAAACCCTCAGACCAAGCATGCTCGATCCAAGTGTTACAACTCAGCTGGTCTCTGACAAGTTACCTCTCTGAGAGGTAACCCCAAAAGTCACCTCTGGGGCACCGATGCAGCCGTCTGGGAAAGTACATGTATACATCATGTACACAGGCATGACAGAGATCTGGAGATTAGACATGCCACTTCCCCCACCCCCGCACCCCCCGCTGTGGGCATAGATTAGTCATCTGAAAGCATTTTGAGATCTGTCATCACAGTATGAGATGAGATGGTGTTTCTTTAATAGGTGAGAAGATGGAGCATTTCCCCAAGGGGATGGAAGGAGAAGAGTCTAGAGGAGTTGAGTGATGTGCTGAACCACACACATGTTGAGGTGTGATCCGGGTTCTCAGCTGACATTCTCAGTTTCTCACTCTGGGTTTTCCTAACCAAAGAAAATCTCGATCAGGTTAAGGTTTCAATCTACTGCAGCAGACACAGCTGGCCATTGCCTCTCTGAACTCTTCGGGGGCAGGGCAAGGACCTAGGAAGAGCTACTCAATACTTTTGATGTGGGACTCACATACAAAAGGTCCTCCTTGATGCGGTTTGAAACACTGCCATGGTGTGCTTGGATAATAGCTAAATTAGCCCTTCATAAAGACTGGGAATGAAGGGACGTCTAAATATAACTCTGGGACATTGAGAACTGCCTGTGGGTAGAATGCAAGAACCCCATCAAGTACAAGACAGTAGAAAAATCAAACCCACCTCCCACTCCCACCTTCCCAGTTCTGGGCATTTTTTAAGTTAGAGAAAAAAAAAAAACAGGCAGTAAGAGGTCAAATCAGGTCTCTGGACATCTCCACGCCTTCCAAGTGCCAGAGAAGAAAATGCTATTGTGTCTATGAGTCCGGAGCAGCGGAGGGGGTTGGGAGGGAGGTGTTGGACCGCCTTCTGTTGCCAGGCGGCAAACATCCAGCAAGGTTGTGCAGGTGATTTGTGGAGTCAATGGGTGAGACCTTCTAACACTCGGCCCCTGGAGACAGCTTTTATTAGAAATCTTCCATTTTTCTGGCATTTCACTAATTTAGCCAAGCCACTCTTGGCAAAAAGTCTGACTGTCCTTAGCCCCAGGGTGGGTGTGATTTAATTTAATGTAGGTAGGAGAGTGTTGAAGAAAGAGCCCTGGGCTGGGCGTCGAAAACGTAGGTCCCAATTCCGGGTGGGTAGTAACTTACCTTGGGACCTTGACCTTGAACAAATCCACCCCCTTCTCTGAGCCTCTGTTTCCCCAGCAGTAAAACACAAAGGTTTGACCTTAGGCTCTCTCCACCCTGCTTCACAGGCAAATGCTATCCTGCAGTCAATTCTACGATTGGTTCATCTGAGCAGGCAAACTGTTACCCTTGGGGCAGGCGGAGTGTCACCCAAGCGCGAAGGAACTGCTTCTGCTCTGGAACCCCACCGGGGGCAGCAGAGGCGGGGTAGGGGGCCCAACGGAAGTCTTTTGAGCCCCTTCCCCGTTGGTTTCGGCCCCCAAGACGCCAACTCAAGTTGAGCAAGTGTCCGGCGCTGACAAAGGGGGCCAGTGACGGACGTGCGCCCTGCGACCGCGAGCTGCCGCCCCGGGAGCGCCACGTGTGGCTGGGAGGCGCGCAGGCACCCGGGCCCGAGGAGCGACTCGGGGCTGGCGGCCGCACCCGACCCAGAATGTGGCGCCGCCGGAGGCGTGGCCGGAGCCAAAGGGCCGCTGCCAGCCGGAGCCTGATGCCGGCCCCGCCGCAGGCCAACTCGTCCTTCCTGGATGTGACACGCTCCGCTCTCCAGCTACCGCGAACCGGGAAAAGCCGGGGACGCCCGGCGAGGTGGGGTGGGGGCGGCCATGGCAACGGGTGGGGGCCGGGAGGGGACGCGTGTGCAACGCTGCTCCCTCCACGTGTCACTGCGCGGCCCCCGCTCACCGCCCCCGCCGTCTGAATAGCTGTTCTGTCTCGGCAGATCCCCGCGTCGGCTGCCGATTGTTTAACTCCCAGACTGGCTGGCTCTGTTGAATTTCCAGACGCCTCTTTGGGACAGGTCTTGGGGGAGGGGGACGGAATCTGTTTTCAGGAAAAGCCGGGTACAAATAACCTTGCCTCTGGTCTCTTTAGATTCTCTTGCCATCTGCGCCTGCGACTTGGCGGGGACCGCAACTCCCTTTAAGAGATGGCAAAACTGAGGAGCGAAGCCACATGGCCAAAAACGCATTGCGAGATACAACTAACAGGAGAGAATTCCTATCCCTCCATTGTCAGTTTCTGGAGTGAAGCTCTGGAAAACCCTCCTTAGCAGGGCTCAGGATCGGACAGGCCAATCTCCCTCTTTTCCTGCCTGCATCCCCTGGTGAGTGGATGGCAGGCTTCAAGGATCTAAGCTGGGAGGCAGGGAGGACCTAGGTCCTGGACCTTGCTTTATGTTCCCTGGCTTCCTTTTACAGGATGACTCCATTTTCCCCCACCTTGTCTTCACTCCATCAGGGCAGGAGGCTAAGGACTGCTCCTATTTTCTCATTAATAAATCTGATTAAAGACCATTTAAGAGTTCTAACTCGTGGTACTTGGGTAAGCTCCTTCCCCATCATGAACCTCAGTTTTCCCACCTATATAATTTTTTCCAGCACTAATATTCCAAGATTCTAATTCACATACTTTCTCTGCTGTAAAGAGTTAACTTTTCTTCCTTTTTTCCACATCGTAATTCTACTTATCTCCCTAGCACCAGTGCACATAGTAGCACTCAATAAAAGCCTATAAAAAGTATAAAGGGAGGCTTCCTTGGGGGCTCAGTGGTAAAGAATCTGCCTGTCAATGCAGGAGGCGGGGTTTGATCCCTGATGGAGGTCCCACATGCCCTGGAGCAACTAAGGCCATACACCAGGACTCCCAGCCCTAGAGCCTGGGAGCTAACTCCTGAGCCCATGTGCCGCAACTATTGAAGCCCATGCTCCCTAGAGCCCATACTTCACAACAAGAGAAGCTTCAACAATGAGAAGCCCATGCACCGCAACTAGAGAATAGCCCCGACTCACCACAACTAGAGAAAAGCCCACACGAAAATGAAGACCCCGCACACAAAACTAAATACATTTTTTTAAAGTATAAAGGTATATCTTTAAGATTTTTATTTATTTATTTTGGTTGTGCTGGGTCTTTATTGCTGCACAGGCTTTTTTCTAGTTTCAGGGAATGGGACCTACTCTCTAGCTGTGCACAGACTTCTCATTGTGGTGACTTCTTTTGTTGCAGAGCACAGGCTCTAGGACTCGAGGCTGCAGTAGTTTGTGGGTCCTGGGCTTTAGAGCACCAGTTCAATAATCTTGGCACACAAGCTTCGTTGCTCTGTGGCATGTGAGATCTTCCTAGATCAGGGATCGAACCCATGTCGCCTGCATCGCAGGCAGATTCTTCATCACTGAGCCAACAGGGAAGCCCCATTTTATATATAGTAGTATGTATATGTTAATCCTAATTATTTCTCCTACCCATTTAGGAATTTTTTAAAGCCATGTTTGTCAAGACCTGCTCTATAGATCACCTGAGTCAGAATCTCAGAGTGTCTGCTCCTTGGGCCACAGTCATTAGAGCTGGAGAGCATTGATTTGAAGAATTTGACATTTATCATCCTCTGGTTGGAAAGGTATTTCCATATGTTAGTATTTCTAAATGAGGAGACTGTGGCCAAACCTGGTCAGCTTCATATAAGATCTAGAACCAGAGTTTCCAACACTTTCATCTACACCAATGTTTTACAGACTCTGAGTGTGTGTGTGTGATTAGTAGCAAATCTTTTTTCAAAAGGAAATCATACCTGGAAGCATATATGCAGAGCTCCTCCTCCTGGTGAAGTGGGGTGGGTAGGGGGTGTTTAGCAAGCTTCCTCTACCTTATTGCAACCCCTAAAGCACCTTCTTGGAACCCAAGGGTTGAGAGACCACAGTCTCATCTTAGGTGACATCCTAGAGGTTACAGGAACTTGGTGTTAAGATGGTCAGATCCAAGGTGGGAGAACCCTGGAAACCCCCGGAGTCTGGTAAACCCCGCCAGGCTTCCTCACATCCCTCAAACCCATGAAGGCAGTTTAGAGAGAAGGCTGCTTGGAGCCCCATTGTCCCCAAGAAGAGAGATAACCTCCTTTGAGCATCTACATCTTGATCAATTTGAGTATATTTATAGAGACCTCTCTGTTAAGTCCAGTGCAATAAATTCCAAGCAGTTTAAAACTAGTTCCTGCCCTCCCATTGTTTTCAATGTAGCTGGAGAGAAAAGACATAAATAGAAGTGATGACATTAAGCGGGTATGTGCTGGGTCGGGGGTTAAGGGAGGTGAGCGAGCAGGTAAGTCATCTCTCTGGATTCGGGGGAGCTGGAGGAGGCGTGGGGTGGAAGGGTGGGAGGATCAGCAGGATACTCTGCCAGACAGGGGAGCTAGATCACTTTCCCAGCAGACACGGTCAGAGTCGTCAGAGTCCAGGAAGCAGCAAATCAGGACGTGAACCCTTAACCCCAGCTGATTTAAACTAATTGGCTTGAGGGACTTGCGTTAGAGTTTAGGGCTTTACAGCCAAAATGTCCATCTTTCAAACCTGCTTCTCCATAAATAGCAACTTTATTCTTCCAATGCCCCCCCCCCACCCCGCCCCACTGGCTCACCGGACTCTCTCACAAGCCCTGGCCTCCTGCTGCTTGTTCCCTCTGCCTGAAGGCTTGTCCCCAAACATCTGCACAGCTGGATCCCTCACCCTACCCCACATGTTACCAGCTGGGTTCCTTCCAGCTGTCTTTGAATAAATATCACCCTTCCCTCCACTCTCAATACCCTTCCCTGCTTTTTGTTCTCGATGGAATATCTAGCTGGCCAGCATTCTGTATATTTACATATCGGTTGCCTCTCCCACTAGATGTGAGCTCCATGAGGACAAAATGTTTTGTGTCCCTGGTGACCAGAATAGCACCGTATACACAGTAGGTAGGCAATAAGCATTACGTTGAATGGATGAGTGGGTGAATGATGGTGAATGACTTCCCCTTAAAGATTCTCCATAGGATCCTCCCGAGGATGGAGAGGGCTGCTCACATGAATAGGTCCTGGGGCAATTTCACCAGGAGCAGTCATTGAGAGTGCTTCGTAAATCTCAGCAGAAGGTGCAGGTGCCCAGTTGAACCAGCTCCTCACAGTGAGTGACAAGGATCCTGGGGGGAGGAGGAAGACCTGGTCTTGGGAAGAACCACCACCGGGCTTGGGAGAAGCAGGGGGAAAGCTAGGTCACCACAGACCCTGAACCAGAGTCCAAGGGAGAGAAGGCAGTCGTGTGTGAAATGATTTCGGTGAGACTGGTGGCCAGGTGTCCCCTCTTACTCCTGGGCTCAATGCCCTTCACCTGCCCTTGACTCCTGGATGAATCAGCAAGTTTCAGCCTTGGGGCTCGTTGCCCCACTTCCCGCTGGGGCTGGACTGGAGGATCTTGCATGACATTAAGTAACACACCCGGGAGGGCAGGGCAGAAGACTCAGGAAGCCAACAGCAGCCTGGGTACAAGGGTCACCCAGGGCCAAGCCTGGGTCTCCGTATGGAGATCCCAGCCCAGAACACAGCTGGTGCTGAGAACTTGGGGGTGGGGAGGGACCCCCATCTCAGCTGTGATCAGCACTGGAGGAGAAGCAGTTGAAGAAATGCAGTTTCAGAGCAGCAAATCCTCATGGAAAATGAAAGTAAGTGTGCCTTGCTTTAAGCCACCACTTACAGGAAAACTAAATCGCTACCAAGGATAAACCAAGGGGCAAGTCCATATTGAAGGACTCTTGGACGTCCCTGGTGGTCCAGTGGTTAAGAATCCACCCTCGAGCTGCAGCTACTGAAGCCCAGTGCTCTGGAGCCCATGCTGTAATAAGGGAAGCTGGCATAATGAGAGGCCCAATACTGCAACTAGAGAAGAGCCCCTGCTAGTCGCAACTAGAGAAAGCCTGTGTGCAGCCATTAGTAAATAATTTTTTTAAGAAAAAAGGAAGGATGCTCCTTGGGGATGGTGTGCGTGGGTGAGCTCCCCTAGTGAACTGGAATTGTTGCCTTTAAGACAATTCAACTTCCCAATAATAATCATTTGAAATGTGGCGTTCTCTTTATAACCTGCCTTCAAAGCTCTGAATACTTTTCCACATATATATTCTCATCTGATTACCAGAGGGCCCTAGGAAATCCCCATTTTACAGATGAGAACAGAGAGGCCTAGAGTGGGTAAGCCATACAGTTTGGCCAGGTTTTCAGACTTGAAGATCTTTCCAGCCCAGCATGCCGTCTGCATGTGATTCCTACAACAGTTCTGGGAGGCTGATACAAAACAAGAAGCTGTGATCCACACAAAAGAAGAAAAAACCCAAACCCAGTGGGTAAAGGCTCCAACCCGATTTCTGACTGAGCCCAGGCTTTGGAGTCAAATAAGGTTTCCCACTCACTAGCTTTACTTAGCACCTGCTTGACTTCTGTGAGCCTCAGTTTCCTTAGCTGTAAAATGGGCATGATAATACCCACATCACTTAAGCTATGAGGGTGAAGTAAAGTGATGTATGTCATTGCTTAGAGCCATGCCTGAAACATAGCTGCTATTTTGATGCCTGTCATTCTTGTTATTTTTACAGTATCTCACACTTCTTATGTGAAATATCCAGAGAGACGTGTAATGAAGTCCTCTTCAGGGGCGAGCAAGATGTCAGTGCCCCCCAGCCCCCATTCCCAGGTTCTCCCTCCTCTCATGCTCACCCCTTTCAGAAGGTCACACCGGGCTGATTCTCTCCCAAGCCCCAGAAGCCTCCCTGCCGCTGCCCAGCCCACCTCATAGCTGCCCGCTGCCTTGGCCAGAGATGAATGGCATCCCCCAGGGCCTGGCTGGCGTGTGGTCACCCCGCCTCTGCCTGCAGCAGGGCCGGGAGCCCGGACGTGCCTGGCAGGCAGCCAGTGCTTTCTTGGTAGGATGCCCCACCACTCCCTCTGGGTCCCTCTATTCTGGGAGCTGTAATTTAGACAACCTTCCCCGCCCCAATTGCTATCTGTGGCAGCAGTCACCATTCCCTCAGGCCCTGCCCACCGCCACTAGACTGCCTTTTCATAAACAGCGCCTAGGCTGCCCTGTTATCTCGGGCGCCCGTGGCTCTGGGGAGGAGGCCCTGCCACCCTGGAGATACAAACGACCCCTCAATCCCTGGGGGGAACCCAGCCCATGTGGGCAGAGGAGGGACGGAACCCTCACCCACCAGAGCCCAATATAGCGGCCCTGAGCTGACCCTGTGGTCTGCTGGGTGGGTGGGGTGCAGAGAAGAGGAGAGCCTGTCGTTACACCCTCAACACCATGGGGACTGGGTCAGCCTGGGTTGAGGTCTCCCCAGAGGCTCCTGCCTCAGCTCATGCTCAGCTACAGGGCCAGGAAGGGGCAGGCGGTGGGTGGGGCGCAGTCAATAACAGTAGCAAAAGTGATGTTTCTAAAATGCAAATGTAAACAAACAAAAAATAAATAAAATGCCCCGTGGGCCTTAGGGATGAAACCCTCAACACTCTCTGCCTTTTCTACCACCTCTCTCACCTCAGGAGTTTTGCACTAGCGCTTCCCCTGCCTAGACACAGCTCTTCTCTTCATCTAGTTCCTACCCATACCACAGATCTCGGCTTAGAGGTCACGTCTCAGGGCACTTTCCCTTGATAGCACATACACGCTCCTCCTAGGTCCTCCCCTTGGACTCAGATGAGAGTCCCTCCCTGGTCTGTCTCTCTCCCTTGCTGGCTGTAACGCTCCCAGGGCAGGAACTCTGTCTTGCTCAGATTGTTTCCAGCACCCAGGCCAGTCCTGCTGTAGAGTATGAGTTCAGGAAAAGTTTGTTGAAAGAACTCATTGATGAGTAAAGGGATGGCACATCTGCCCTCCAAGATGAGTGGGTCTCTTGGGGGCAGGGGTACTTGCTACTTTGGGCCCTTCATTCTCCCAGAAAGTCCCTTCTTCAGGGTTCTGTCCCTTTGTCCTCTAAGTATACCTTCAGGCTTGCTGCACTGTCTGTCCGTCCTGATCTGGAAAATACAGTTGCTATGGCCTTGGGCCTGCCAGGGGGGAGCCCCAAGGGACCATGAAGATGCACTGTGGGATAAGACAGACATCCTTCGGGTGAGAGAGAGGAAGGCACAGAAGAAAGGAGTCCGCAGGCCATGAGTCACTTACAAGCAACGTTTCTGTTACTAAGAGGCAGGGAGGCTGTGCTGGCCAAATGGGCAGAGTGGGTTCTTATTTTGGCACTTTGTGCTGTGATTCCTCCAATCATGGGCTTCCCTGGTGGCTCAGCTGGTAAAGAATCTGCCTGCAATGCAGGAGACCTGGGTTCGATCCCTGGGTTGGGAAGATCCCCTGGAGAAGCGAACAGCTACCCACTCCAATATTCTAACCTAGAGAATTCCATGGACTGGAATTCCATGGGGTGGCAGAGTCAGACACTGAGTGACTTTCACTTTCACTCTTCCAATCGCACACTTTGCACTTTGCTTGCTCCAAAGACAGACACTGCAAAGAATAGCCTACAACTACAGTAATGAGGCTGGAGTAAGATTATCCTACATGTTCAGTTCAGTTCAGTTCAGTTCAGTCACTCAGTTGTGTCTGACTCTGCGACCCCATGAATCACAGCATGTCAGGCCTCCCTGTCCATCATCAACTCCCGGAGTTTACTCAAGCTCATGTCCATCGAGTCAATTCTACATGTTAACCCCCATTAATTACTGGAGGATCTTTGAAATTTGAGTCTTTCTGCATCCAAATTGTATCTCCTCCATCATTTCTGTCACCCTGAAGTTTCACTTGAGCTTGTCCCAGACCACCAGCCTAGGAGGCTGGGAAAATATGGGCACTGTAGCTGCTTCTACCTCCTGAGAACCTGAGACCCACTCCCAGGTATACAGCCACACAGCCAAGATCTAGGGCCCAGGCCTTTTAGAGAGATAACAGTGGCAGCTACGCACACCGCCTCCCTGCTCCTGGAGGCTGCATGATGAGTGACCAAAGCCAGGCCTGGTGAGGACAGTCAATCTAGTGGTGAAAAATAGAGTGTGAACTCTGATAGATCCATATCTAGACATGAGTCCACCTCAGGGTCTTTACACTTGCTGTTTCCTCTGCCTGATGCTCTTCCCCTCACGTTTTTCTAGGTCTCACTCCCATGGGTCTTTGTTTAACTGACCCCTTGGCACTTAGACCTTCGGAACCTCTTTGGATTTCCCTGGGGTTGCAGTGGTTAAGAATCTACCTGCCAAAGCAGGGGACACCAGTTCAAGTCCTGATCCAGGAAAATTCCATATGCAACTTAGTTCCAAGGTCAACTAATCCCATGTGCCACGACTACTGAGCCTGAGTTCTAGATCCTACTCACCACAAGAGAAAGCCCACATGCAGCCAAAAATAACTTTAAAAAAAATAAGTAATAAATAAATAAACTAAATGGAAAGCCCTGGACTTCCCTGGCAGTACAGTGGTTAAAATTCCACTCTTCCACTACAGGGGGCACAGGTTCGATCCCTGGTACCTCTGGTCGGGGAAGTTTCACATGCCACACAATGGGGCAAAAAAATAAAGTTTAAAAATTTTTAAAAAGGAACCACCCTCATTCCCACCCCATTTCCCTGCTTTATTTTTCTCCATAGCACTGTGCTGTGCTGCGCTTAGTCACTCAGTCATGTCTGACTCTTTGCAACCCCATGGACCGTAGCCCGCCAGGATCCTCTGTCCGTGGGATTCTCTAGGCAAGGATACTGTATTGGGCTGCCATTTCCTTCTCCACTCCATAGCACTGCTGCTTATCTAACATACAGCTTCCTTTTCTCCCTCCTTCCCTTTTTTCTCCCTCCTTCCCTCCATCCTTTTTTTCCTTCCACTGTCTGCCTCCTTTCTACAGAATGTAAGAAAAACATGAACAGATATATCTCTGGCTTAGTTCTCTATGGCTGTGTAATAGATGACCCTAAATTTTTAGCAGCTTAAAACTAGTGTTTATTATCTCCCACAATTTCTGGGAACCAGGAACCCTCACAAAATTGCAGTCACCTCAAGGCTTCCCAGGTGGCACTAGTGGTAAAGAACCTGCCTGCCAATGCAGGAAGCCTAAGAGACACGTGTGCTATGCCTGGGTTGGGAAGATCCCCTGG